ATTTTTGAATAAATTGAAAAACAATTTTCTTCTATGACTGCTTGGCATTTACATTTGAATATTTTATAAATGCATGTGTTTTGCTATACGTAAGTAATTGTTAAATGTAAAAACAAATTCAACTGAAAGGACTATGAATTTACAACACTTTTCTCTAACATTGTAAAGATCAAACTTTGAAACTAGATTTCGTTACAGAAATAATGTGGTTAGTAGTTAGAGCTATGGGACTTGAGTTAGAGGTCCGAAGTTCGATACTCGTCTCGAGCAACCTGTAGTCAAGCAGTAATTACGTCAATTTTTAATTTTGAAGTATAGATAGCAATATGTTTCACAATATTGCTATCAATAAACATTCAACACAGTTACAAAAATTGTAATGACAAAATTCATCAAATATGGGGTTTCAGTAGCGCACTTTGATTTACTGTTCAAATATGATTATTTTTTTAAGATTTGGCATTTTTAAATTTCCATAATAACATTTTGCAAGTAACTAATCCGGCATTAGCTCGCCCACCAAAAAAAATCTGTCTTACATAATAATCTGACGCATTGAACTACCAATTTATAAGCGAAATTGTACGTTAAATTAAAAAATACGAATATTTTGATCTAGAAAATTCGTAACAATTTTATGTTTCATAATATATCAGTCTAATATACTGATATATGAAACAAAAATAAATTCTAAATACTGAGTTAAGATAATTTTTATACAAGTGTGATTGAAGGTTAATTTCAATAAATGCAACCTTGAAAAGCATCCAAGCTGGATGTAATTATTCAAAAATTCACAACGCCTAACAAATGTGGCGTGCAAAATTTTAAAAGTATTAATATAAGTAGTATAAGTGAAGTTTTATTCGTTAGGTTTATAATTGTAATTTTTATACAAGTGTGATTGAAGGTTAATTTCAATAAATGCAACCTTGAAAAGCATCCAAGCTGGATGTAATTATTCAAAAATTCACAACGCCTAACAAATGTGGCGTGCAAAATTTTAAAAGTATTAATATAAGTAGTATAAGTGAAGTTTTATTCGTTAGGTTTATAATTGTAATTTTTATACAAGTGTGATTGAAGGTTAATTTCAATAAATGCAACCTTGAAAGCATCCAAGCTGGATGTAATTATTCAAAAATTCACAACGCCTAACAAATGTGGCGTGCAAAATTTTAAAAGTATTAATATAAGTAGTATAAGTGAATTTTTATTCGTTAGGTATGCATATTTTCATTAAAAATATCAATAACTATCGCATAAATGCCAAAAACCCGCATTTTAAAAATTTCCTCAATATTGAATAAAATAAATGAGTAGACCAAAGTATTCACCGAACATACTGTAACAAATCAGTATTAAAAATATTTTATTTTAATTTTGTTTTATGCTGTGGTAATTCTTTATAATGTAGCATTATTAAAAAGATAGAAGTTATTTTTTCACAATGCACCGAAAGGCTATTTTCACTTGAAATATTAAATCTATACTTTCAAAGATATCTTAACTGATATCTCTACTGCTGGATATCAAGCTGTCGAAGACGGGTAGTAAGGACAAACACATCAACTAATCTATGTATGTTTTCGAAACACAAATACTTGGATCAATATATTTGTATAACATTTTATTTGACGATACGTTTTAGTTTCCTTTCTCAATCATGAAATTCTAATAGTTATAATATAGAGATCAATATTAATGAATGATAATATGAATAGACTATCGACATTTTATAGAAAAAGCAGCGACTACGAAATTTCATGTTGGCCAAAATAACTTTTGACCGAAAGTACATCAAAGGTTATATGGGATTTGCTAAAATTAAAGTGAAAGTTTTGAATAACATATTTACTTGACCACTCGACTTTCGTGTTATTATATTATTTATATATCATATACTTGTTAATTATAGGTAAATGATACATTTATAACTGATAAGGCCTTTCTTTCTGTTCCAAAGTACTACATGTTAGAATGTTATTTAAAATTACAATAAAGAAATTGAAAATATTTATCACAAGCAATATTTATCATTTATCATAATCAATTTGTCCTAAATAATATGTATCATACATGAAATATAATGTTGAATTTCATTGATAGTGGTTTAAATTCAATGATAGTGGTTTCGGATATTCTTTACCTCAATAAATAACAAAGGGAAACTTATACGCGAATTATGTGTCTTTGTATAAAAAAAAAAATGTAATTATACTTTCATATATTATATTTGTTATAAACACGTTCAAAAAAAAATAATGCCAAAATTTACTGTAGTATTGTAAAATAATTTTCAAAACATAAGCCAGTAAATGAAATTGCGACAAACTCTACACAAAAGTGTAGAGTTATAGCAACAAAAACCTCAATACGTTCTACTTCATAGTAATTCCTTATTTTTAGTTTTATTTTTATTTTATATTTAAACCATTTTAAAATAATTTAAAGTTTTTTCAAAATATTTTTAAGCAATTTTTTCGAAATCAGTTAACAATTAGACAAGAATTTGTATTGTCATTGTGAACACTGCAAAAGTTATTTTATCAAATTCATATCGTTTTCTTTAAATAAAACTTTAGATTTTAGATAAAACGTCCGTAACCCATTTGATGTCTGTTTTGTATTACTTGATTGATATGGTTTTATCGAACAATTTGCTGAAAACTATTATATATTTATAATTTTATTAAATCTGTAATAAATAGGATTTTTATTAATTTATACATTTTTGCGGTAGTTTATAGATTTGTAAAACACACAAAATTACGCTATATATGTACTGTAGTGCAAAACAATTTTTGTGGTCGCAAATATTTGAATTTTGAATAATTTTTCTTGATAAAGTACCCTATTTAACACGTTAGGTACAAAAATTAGGAGTCATTTTATTATTAAATCGGTTGAGATATCCAAAATTTGATTAAACACAGATTAGCAGGATTGTCAGATTATCATATTTTAAGCTCATACTACCGAACCGATTTTAGAAAATCAAAAACTGTTCGAAAGATATTAGTTGGGAATGGTACTGATTAGTTTTAGGTGAAAATCTACCGAGCCGTTTTCTTGTAACTAACTGTTGAAAAAAAAATTTAAGCCGATTTTCATGGAACTTTTTTTGGCAATATATATCATGGTCTTATAGAACTTACTGAAATATTACGACAAGTAGTTTAATTTTAAAAATTCATCAAAGTTTGAGAAAATGAGTAGTATATATATATAGAAAATGAGTAGTAATATATATATATATATATATATATATATATCTATATATATATATCTATATATATATATATATATATATATATATACAGGGCCGGTCCTGCCTGCAAAAATGCGGGCGCACGCCTTTTGGGGCGCCAAAACGAGATTCGGAAATGAAATTTATAATATATTATTCATATTTTTAATATAAAATCTAGAATACTTAACAGATTACAATAAACAATCTAACTTAACTATGGATATGCAGAAACAGATAGCGTATTCAGTTTGCAATGTGATATCTGTAGAAACAATTAATTACTCATGCAAATTAGTAAATTATTGTTCTGCTTATTATTTAATGAACTCATTAAATTTTTCTTCAATCGAAGTTAATGTGGAATTGAAAAAGAAATTATCTAGTGTTCAATACCGTAAGCGCAAACCTACGAAAGTTTAAATTATTGGGCATTATTGATGAAAAATTGCGAGGTGATTTAGTTTGAATGGAACTTGTTAAAAAAAATAGTTACAAATTATAATAGAGAAAAATGGAAAATGGGAAGTCAGTGCATAGAAAATGACTATAAGACCGAGAAACTTAATTGTAAATTTTGTATTTGATGAAAATGTTTCGCATCTGATTAACTTTGAACTTTGAAGAAATGCGTGGTTAGGTTTATGAAAATGGAGCAAATATGAAAAATGGAAGCTAAATGTACTTAGAAACAAAACTCCTGAGCTTTTTTATATCTAGTGGTGTCCATACTAAATTTAATCATTAACTAAGCAGAAATAATACAGATACAAATATAATTGTGTTTTGTTTTCGATATAGTTCAGGAAATATGTAATTTCTTTGCATCTTTTAAAATACGTTAAAAATTTAACTTTAAAACAACAATCTGATATTCTGAATCAGATGGGAAAGTGAACATGAATACAATTTGGCTTTACAATATTAATAAGTTACTGATGCAATTTTGGATATTGTAAATAATGAAAAAAAAAATTAAAATAAAATTTTAAAAATCTAACATGAAAAACAAATGTTATGTTTAAAAATAAAAATGAGTTTAATTAATTAAGTGTTTCATTAAAAATGAAAAATGTTTCAAAACCCAAATATTAATATTACATATATGTTAGAAATACTTGAAAATATAAAATATTTAATTATGGTCAACCCGCAAATCGCTTCGATTTTCTAAATAAAATTAAAATCAATGTATTTTATACGCTTTTAGATTATTTCTAATTTTTTGTGTGAATTTACGTAAATATTCATATAATTTTAATGATAAATGTTAAAACAGTTAAAATTATTGGGGGGGTGGGGGGCGCTAGAACAAATCTTTCATGCGGGCGCTGAAGACTCCAGGACCGGCCCTGTGTATATATATATATATATATATATATATATATATATATATATAAGAAATGCAAAGCATTAACAAGTTCAAAGATTATAAATCAAAAATGTAATGCAACAGGTTCCTTGTTTTGTCAAGTTAACATCGAAATTCTGCATACATAAAAGACTACTCTTTTATCTATGCATAAAAGTATCTATGTTTAATGCATTAATATATATATATAGTAAATATATCAATCGGAAATATTACTTTAATCAAAAATTAATGTAATTGTACAAGTAATGGTGATGTCTCTATTCCACTCAATCAAAATAACACGTATGCAGTAATAAATTGATACCATTCTGATGTAATCGATCAAGGTCATTAATATCACTAAATCTACTGGAGTATTACTCGAAAAATTCTTACCTCATTTAAGAACGCCGTCACATCATAAACATTATTATGGATAATAATACAAGCCTTCTGGTTGTCATTGAATTTGGCAACTTCGGCTAATGTGAATTGTTTTTCCGCCATTTTGAAAGCAATTTATAAAATTTATGAACTTGAATTGAAAATATATTACAAGCACCTCACTAATTCAATCTATAATTACAAATGATTATCAAATCTGCCAGCATTTACTCGTGGTGGCAATAAAATGACTGAACTGGTCAGTGACAACTGACAAAGTACACTGTTGAAGAAAATGCTGATTCACTTGAAGTTGGCAGGGGTATGCAACCATGACTAAAATTTAATATTTTAAAATTAAAACTTTGAACATTTTCTTGGAAGATTTAAGTAATATTATAAAAGTGTAGTAATTGTAATGTAGAAAAAAATAATAAGACCAAAATATAACCTTTGGGTTATGAATTATTTAGATCAAGCCCAAGTGTCAGCGAAGAAACGTTTAAAATCGCAACAAAAATACAATTTGCTTAATATTACATATACAATGTTATTATACTTGTAAAATTATTTTTCTAATTGAGCAAATTTCAAATCACCAACAGTTAACAAATTTAATTTAAAAAATTCACTTATAAAATTGACAGTGTACTGACCAGTCAGTCGATTGTCTTGGAAGTGCAACTTGTCATCTTGTCAACTACAAACAAACAATTATTTTATAGTTATAATAAGTATATTTTTATTATATTTATAAAATGTCACGAATACCTCAGTCAAAAGAAGCTTTATTAAAATCATAAACACAAGATTGAAAGAAGATGTTAAAAGCATGTTAGAAAATTTGAAGGTATATTATGTTTTATACCTCAAATGCAAACTTTTATATTTATGCTCATTGCATTTTAAATTGTTTATAGAATAATTAAATTGGCAAAAGGCGAAAATGAATCACAATTATCAAGAGTGACACAATGTGAACAAGACACCTATGAAATGCATGTACGGGCAGCAAATATAGGTATAAAAATATACATCAATTTCTTCAGTCCATTACATGAATAGTATTAGTTTGCATTTCTCTATTTTAATTATGTTATTTAGTGAATGATTATTTGTTTCTCTCTGTAAGTATTTGGTGGGAGTTAGATGTGGAAAATTATATGCTATTTTTATGGTTTTATTCATTATTCTCTGTATGTCATTTAGGCTTGCTTTAGTTGTTTGGCTCCATGTTGTTATTCCATATAAAATTATAGGTATTATTTGCGTTTTAAGAATTAGTATTTTATTTTTTTTGCCAACAGAGTGGATCCTTTTCAATGCCCCTGTTAATGTTCCTATCTTTCTTTTTATTTTGTTTATATGTTCTGTCCATGTCAATTTTTCATTTATTATCAGTCCTAAGTATTTTATGCTTTCCACTTCTTCTATTTCTCTATTATTTACTTTAATATTTAGTTTAGTGTTCTCGGTATTTTTTCTATGTTTGAAATATATGTATTTTCTTTTATCGATGTTGTTAGTTTATTTTCAGTTAGCCACTCGGTATATATTTTCATGTCTGTCTTTATAGCATCTTCGAGTCTTTTTTTATCCTTATCTGCATATACTATGGCTGTATCGTCTGCATATAATATGTATCTACCCTTTAATTTTGCATCTTTGAAGTTATTGGTGTATAACAGATATAATAAAGGTCCTAATACAGAACCTTGTGGGACTCCACAAGTTATGGTATGTCCTCCACTTGTGAAATTTCCCACCTCCGTCCTTACCACCCTTTCCATGAGGAAATCTTTAATAATGCTGTAAGACAAACCCACTACACCCAAATCTGTTAGTTTATTGAGTAATATGCCATGATCTACTGTGTCGAAAGCTTTTTGTAAATCAATAAAAATTGCAGCTGTATGCATATTTTCCTCAAGGTGCTGACTGATGGTATTAGTCAAATCTATTAGGGCACCTTGTGTATTTGATGAAGGGAGGGAAACCATACTGATGTTTATCTATTTTTAGTAAATAATATTTATTCTTTCTAGTGCGTGCTGGAGAATCATTGATGAAGCTAGTATCTGACATAAAGCAGTATTTAATTTTAAATGATTTTCCATCTGTTAACGAAGCAATAACACAAAATTCTAAATTATTCAGAACTAAACAAGCAGAGTGCGACCAGAAACTTATGTCACTTAGAGATGATATGGCAGCAGATTTATATGATTTAGAAGAGGAATATTATACAAGCATATACAAATAGAATAATTTGTGATATTTTTTATTTATTCAATAAAATAATTTAAGTCAATTTTACAAACTTAATTTTTCTTTTTCGTTCTAAACCTGTCTAAAATATTTGCATTTTCCTGTTTAGAATTACTACTCTTGTCAGATAGTTCATTTAATGGATTGATTTCCTTCATTTGCTTAATAAATTCCTATAAAAAAAAACATATTAATATTACAACATAATATTATATCAAAATTAAATTTTAATAATTCAGTGTTTGCTGTTGACACTATATTATGTGGATAAACAAAATGTATTTTAAAGTAAACTATAAAAATTAATTATTGAAATATAAAATGATTAAAGCTATATTTAAATTTTTATAACATTATGTATACAACACTTACCTTTTATGTACTTCTTGTACAATTTTCTTATTTCTAGCAGCTCGAACTGATGCACCTCTCCTCTTACCAATATTTCTAGGTTTGTAGTCAACCTTTGGCGGTTTCAAAAACTGCCAAATGAAAATTGATTAGTAAGAAACATTTTATTATCCTAGTTCAAGGCCTCAATTCTATATAAATTCAAAGCAACAAACTCCAATAGAATATATATCAATTAACCAATACTTACCAGAAGCTTTTTCTTTGCCTCAATTTTGTCCTTTAATGTGGGAACATCTACTTCAGCAATGCTGTTGGGATCAAGTGTAATAAGATCAGCAGGTATCTTTTCAAGCAATGCATGGACCTCGGCCTCTCTTCTTTGAGACTTAGTTTGGAATGGATTACATTCACGAGCATCGAAATTAGGTTCACCGCTCCCTGAAAGTTATTCAATAGATAACTTAGTTATAAAATTTATTTATTAGATAACATAGTTATAAAATTTATTTATTAGATAACATAGTTATAAAATTTATTTATTAGAAAGAGAACAACCACTCTTCTAATTATTCATGTAAATGCATAATGGACAATTAGGTTGATAATTGAAATGCAAAATCATCAAGTGAATATCTAATAAACCATGACAAGTTTACAAGTTTATTACCTAATCATTACAATTTAATAAAACTTGCTTATTGAACAACAAACAACAAATATTATCAACAATATTCATATAATATTATATAAACACTATTACGTACTTTACATAATAAATGGCTATACTCACCAGGAACTAATAATGATGTGAAGCCTTTTGAAGCAGAAACACCCAATATATCCTCATGAGGACAAAATTGTAATGTTTGCACAGATGTTTCCATTTTATGGCGTAAATATGGTCGCACAGTAGATTCAAGAGAAGAATCCCTAAAACATAATTATTATATAAGTAAAAATAATTGAAAAGATATAAAGTGTACATAAAATATGCTAAATACCTGTACACTTCAACAATGTTACCCATGCCAACAGCCATCATATCGCTTTTGTGAGATAACGATAAAGATGTTGGACAACCCCTTAACTTGTAATGCTGTAAAGGACCTGATAGTTTTCTTATATCCCAAAGTTTAATTGATTTATCAACAGCAGATGTTGCCATTTGTCTATATGAAAAGAAAATATAATTCTTGAATAAGAAGAGCATAAAAAAAACTTAATTATCAAATACTAATAAAAGTGATACTTACGTTCCTTGAGGATTTATTGCAACAGATGTTAATGGACCATTATGACACAACATTTTAGCCAATGGTTCTCTGGTGTTTGGAGACCACATACTGACTACTCCTCGTGCATGCCCAACACATAAAAGTGCATTATATGGATTTTGAGTCATTATATTTAATCTGCCAAGATTAGTATTGTATTTTGTAACTAATTCACCAATTGAGATGTCAAGCCAAGATAAAAAACCATCATCACTCTAATAAATAAATGAGATTTTTTTAAATATTTATGGTATATTATATGAGATATTATAATTCATAAAAAAACATATTTCCTTACAGCTGTTGCTAGTAAAAAGTGATAAGGCAAAAATTCCATGCGCTGCACTTTATTAAGGCGTTTGATGCAGTGCAATTCAATTCCTTGATTATCATAAATGTAAACCCAATCTTTTTGAGCCACTGCCATCATTGTTTCTATATGTAGCCAGCTAAAAATTACAATTACTTGTAAAATTAATTAAATAATGATAATTCAATTAAATATCAAAAATAAAAATAAAAGGCATATACAATAAAATCCATATCAAGACTAAAAATATTTGTATACCTTATATCATATATACATTCCATCACATTGATTTCGCATAATAATTTTTTTGTTACCCAGTCAAATGCAGCAAGATGTCCTCTAAAATATTAAAGAATTATAAGAAACTAATTGATAAATAATAAGAATTTAAATTTGCTTACCTATGCCCGCCTAATAATAAATATCTTCCTGATCTATTGTATTTCATTCTGTATGGTCCAAACTGATCCAATGTTAACTCAAAATGTTTGGTAGCGGCACTTATATCTACCTAACAGAATATTTAATAATTGTTATTTAATTAATATCACGTTCTTTAGAATATAATATAAATTAGAACAAAAAAATATTTATATTCAGTATACAACAACTTATAAATGATATTTTAGTAAATAATTAAAATAAGATGTTAAAATATTATATTGAAAATTGAATTACCTCTTTTATAATCTGTTTCTGTGTGAATTGTGTAGTTCTTTCGCCATCGTCCGCCTCTAAAAAGCTAAATATATAAAGAAAGTGTTAATGCAATAGTGAATATTATAATTTGTTTGATATAATAAATATCACAAATTAATACCCTGCCGATTCTGTTAGTAGTATCTCAGCATGAGCAGCTTCCTCTTGGGCATTTGCAATAAGTTTTTCTTTTCGTTTCAACTTGATTGCATGATGTTTTGTTTTAATTCCCTTGCCCTCAAGACCCACACCTCTGGAGTGTCGCTCTAGAGATTCAGGATCAATTGGTAATTTTTTTAACTTAGGTACTGGTTTACCATTCGCAACAGTTTTCTGCAATGTAAAATAAATTTCAAATTTAAAGATTGGTAAATGTATAATTATATCACAACCTTCGATCACACAGTATGAAACAACTATATTTTGTGTATTATAATTAGTTTGCACTATAAATTTAAAAATTCAATAAAACTTACTGCTTTTGCAGTGAACCTAAAGCCAGATATTATAACTAACTGCACATAATATCATAAAATAACTAAGAAGTTACCTCAAGCAGTTACAAATTTATTACCTTTTTATTCTGCAGTTTTTGACTATTTAACTGTCGTAAAGATATTGGCTTTACTTTGTATGTTAAAACATCATTGGCTGTAAGTGTTTTGCCTATCTTTTTAATTTTGTTTTCAGGATTATCAGACTTTCTTCTGGATCTTTTGCCTTTGCCTTTTGGTTTAGCATTGTTGTCCTTTTGGAAATAACGAGTGTGAACCTAAATTAAAATAAATATTATGAGTATTTACTACAAAAAACAAAATACCAAAATAAATAACTTAAATTTAAATTAAAATATAATATAACTCACCTTCGTCATTTTATTTATTTTTTCTTATTGATACAAATAATTAATTAAACATTACTTATATTGATGTTAAGAGGATTGTCAAAAAGTTAACCTCAAAATAAAATCTCACGTGTGTTTACTGGCATGAAATTCGTGCAAGTTTACATGCTATTCTACTTTGTTCAAAAAAGTTCTAAATGTCAGAAAAATGTTGAATTAAGACAATAAATAAATAAAATATATATCTTAACCATATTTAAACTAAATAAAAAGTTATTAATCATGTTTGCTGTTCGGTCTTTATTTAGAACTTTAAGCACCAAAAATTATTGTACAAATGCACTTGTAAATGATCCATTATTAACCAGAAGTCTTGACTTTCCACCCATCTACCAAAAACCTAGGCAAGTTTGGGTAGAAAATATTGATACACCTGAAGAAAAGAAATTATCTATAATAGACTTACACCCAGATGTATTTGGATTTTCACCAAGAATTGACATTATTCACCAAAATATTACTTGGCAAAGAAAATACCGCTATGTTTCATTTGCTCACACCAAAACAAGAGCAGAAGTTAGAGGTGAGTCTTTGTGAGAATATTCTTTTTTGTCTTAAGAAAAGTTTTCTAATTAAAAGAAAGATGATGTAATTGTTACTTAACCTATGCTACTATGTTTCTGTACAATACAATATGAGGTTCGAGTTTGCTTATTTATTCTCATTAATTTTGCAGGTGGTGGTAGAAAACCATGGCCTCAGAAAGGAATGGGTAAGGCTAGACATGGATCAATTAGATCACCATTGTGGAGAGGGGGTGGTATTGCCCATGGTCCTCGATCACCTACAACACATTTTTATATGCTTCCATTTTTCACAAGAGTTTTAGGATTAACATCAACGCTATCAGTTAAATTAGCACAGGACGACCTGCATGTTGTAGATAGCTTAGATATTCCTTCTGAAGATCCAACATTCATTAAGGATTTAATAGAAGCAAGGAATTGGGGACCTTCCGTACTAATTGTTGATAAGTAAGCTTAATTTTTTTTACTTTTCACATAATACTAAGCAATAAATTGGTGCAGTTTCTTTTTACAAATATATTTTCCTGAAATTAGTTACATTAAATTTGCCAATGCATTTTAGTCCTGTTGCAGTTTAATCTTTTTTTTTTACTGCACAAAAATTGCTTTACTCACAAATTGAATAACACTTTATTTACCTTTTTTCAGTACTGATTTAATGCCAAGGAACATCACAATGGCAACAGACACAATTAAGCATGTGAATTTGATGCCTGTGTACGGTTTGAATTGTTATTCAATGCTGAAACATGAAACTTTAGTACTAACAACTGCAGCTGTTGAAAAGATAGAAGAGAAAATATTGCATCACTTACATAGGCCTGACGCTAAATCAATATGTGCTAAATTTAAATTGAATCAACAGTAAATTAATAAACTGTAAAATTGTTTACAGTTAATAATACAAGAATTTATGTACATAATTTAAGAATAAAAGTATTAAATATACCATTTTTTTATTTTATTTAAATACTTAATAAAGAAGTATATTTACTGCAGAATATGATTTAGGACTTTGAAGATCATGTGAACAAACATTACTTTATTAAAAAAGTTCAATACTTACAATGCTATTGTATTAAAATTATACCAAAGTTATATCAAAAGTAAGTTTGTACCAAATATTCATGGAATGCTAAGTTGAGTTAATTTCAAATATATGTTAATGAATTTAATTTTTTTTTTGAAAGTTGTAACCAATCTGCAATAAAACTAATATTTGGAATTGTTCTTTATATTATTTCATTTTATATTAAAACCTTCAACATACACTGTTAGAAAATAATTTATTTTGAGAAATTTAAACAAAACTTTACATTTTAGAAAATTTATTTGCATTAAGAACAATCAGTTTCGAATAATAATGCAAATAGTAATGTGGAAAGTTTACTTTAGCTTCTTCTTTGGGCGCAAGTTGTTGGTGTGTCCACATTTGGTTTTGCGGCAGTTAGTGGCTCTGGGATGAAGGCGAGCATAGCACTTACGGCAGATCATTTTGTCGCAGTTGTATTTTTGAGCCAAAATACGAAGAGAAGGTTCAATGATACCTATAAAAATCACATAATTCCATTTTCTTGAAGCAGTTTTAAGAAAGTGCAAACTGTAAGAGCCATGAAATGCAGGGGTAAAAACACCTCTGGCATGAGATGGAAAGCCTCAATTGCAATTCAATACAAAATGTTACTCTTAATGAGTATTAATTGGATTATTTCTCTAAATCATAGCAACAAAAATTGAGATAGAACATTTAGAAGGAGAACATAAAGTACGTAATAAACATTTTGTTATGTTACAAACCTCCACGAAGACGCAAAACTAAATGCAAAGTGGATTCCTTTTGGATATTATAGTCGCTCAAGGTACGTCCATCTTCTAATTGTTTTCCGGCAAAAATCAAACGTTGCTGGTCTGGTGGGATGCCTTCTTTGTCTTGAATTTTTGCTTTTACATTTTCGATAGTATCGGATGCCTCCACCTCAAGGGTGATGGTCTTACCCGTCAAAGTTTTCACGAAAATTTGCATGATTACCGACCTACAAAAAGAATAACTGTTAATTGATACTTCACTCGAAGAACATGAATTTATAAAAACTCTTATTTCCCACTATTAACCGTGCAACTAAGCAAATTAGTTCTCACCTCACCTTATTACAACGTGGTTCTAATGCAAAGAGAACTTTCGACCGAGGTTATGTTCACACCAAATATATCCTGTGCAAAATCAAGTTAGGCAACCTGCAAAATTCAGTGATGCCAACAAAGACAGATTTGACATTTGCACATTTGAAAACTGTTTGGAGAGCATTTTTGACAAATGACAAAATATATAATATTGCCAAACATATCTAATAAAGCCACAACTGAAGTTAAATTATTTGTAACATGATGAATACCGATTTTATTTAAGAATAATATAAGCGTATTGTCGTATTACATTTCTTGAATAAACTCATTGTTATTGTTTGATAAATGTGAAAGTTACCATGAATTTCTACAGTAAAAGTTCTGTGGAATAATAGATATTGTTAGATACTGCCGTATATCTTTCACATAGAGTTAAAATGAATTTGCAATCTATTTTCCAAGATTTTAATCCTAGGTAATTATTAAACTAATTATTCTTGAAACTGCTTATTCTAATATCTTATTTTATTATATCTATATTTGTATGTTTAAACAATTTGTTTATTCTTTTTATTTTGTGCAGGCCAAATTCTTTGCAAGCAGTCTAAATGCTTGCAATATGATATGGCATACTTAACCTTGAAAATATCTATATCGTGCAAAGTCATTTGCTATTGCTATTATGGTTTATAATCTTATGAATATTTAAATAGAAGTATATCTATAAGACTATTTATTTTCTAAAAGCAAGAATTTAAAACTATAATATACATGTTTCCTCTTTCTTACAGCAAATTCATAGTTCATTCAAGTCTTTTAACTTTCGTTGTATTATTCGCATTACGTTTGGATGACTGGATAGATTGGTCTTACTGGGCTATATTTTCGCCACTATGGATTTGGAAAGGTTTTGCAATAAGCGGAGCTTTAGTTGGTGGCTATGTCTGGTGGAGATACCCACATTACAGGTTCATATATTTACATATCTTTTTCTTAATTATCCAAGCAAAAGTAATTTTTTCTTTCTCTACAAAGTTTCTATTTAAATCTGAAGTAAATGAAGATTTCCCACTGCTTGATTTGTTTTAATAGATTATTCAAATAGTTCTATTAAAAAAATCTGTGTTTCTGAATCAGTTTCAAAATAATTCAGATAAAAAAAAGTTTCAAATTGCATAAGATAATATAATCTAAGCTATTGAAGTTAATTATTACCAATTATATTATAATTTATATAAATATTTGAATTATTTTCAGGTTGGAAGGTGATTCCTACGCACATTTCAAAGCAATGCTTATATCATTAGCATTGCATTTGATTCTTTTGATGTTTGAATTGTTGGCATGTGATAAACTGCATTCTGGACGACATTTATGGGTTTTAGTTTTTATCCCACTAATTTTTGTTAGTGTAGTAAGTGTGGCTGCTTGCGTTTGGGCTGTTAAACATGATAGATCATTCGAGGTGAGTTTGAAATTGATATTATTTCTATTATTAAGTGCTCATTTTGATATATTATCATTATAATTTTTATCAGTTGGAGCTATTCTGTTCAGTTAACGCTCTACAATTTGTTTTCCTACCTCTAAAACTAGATGGATTTGTAAGTTGGAGTTGGGAAGTTGTTTTTGTTCCTTTGTGGATAGTACTATGCTTAAGTCTTGTAGGTAAGTGGAATAATTCATTATTAGCATTGTATATTATACCTACAATCTGTCGATAAATTCATAAAGTACTTTTCTTACAGGTGTACTATATAGCATAATTTTTTGTGGAATATTATTAAGGACTCCTGAGATATCCTCTCAACAATCTCGATCGGCTATGTTTACTGCTATAGGACATTGTTTTACTGTTTTACCTATATTGGTTTTTCAAGTAAATATGGAATATTTTAAATAATTCTTTCGAAATAATTATAAATAATAATTATTTGTAGGTATTATTAGCTGACAAACTTGATGGTGGTCTAAAATGGCCTTTCTGTGTTGTAATCACACCTTTAATTTTGGCATTATTCACATTAATTCTTCTTTCATTTGGTTCAAAAGGAGGAAACAAATGTAAGTATACAAGCCACGAGTATGTAAAGTACTTTTGATTAACCATAAAATGAATTGAAATATAAATCATGCACTTCATTTCTGTATACAATATTTATAATAATTTTTGCCTGTTTAAAAAATTTTAAACATATAAAAAATTTTGATAGACTATACAACGGGTAAATATTAAACAGTTAATTCTGAATATTTCTTGATGAAATGTTGAACAATAACAATATCAATCAATATAAAGCCAAATATTCACTAAATCTGGTTTAATATGCATTAATTCTAGGGTGGTTTGGAATAAGGAAGGACTTCTGCCAGTTTCTATTGAGCACATGTCCTATATTACAGGAATATGCAAATATTGCTTACCATAGCGACAATAGATCGGACAGAGAAGATGGGAGCAAAAATGAAAGGAAAATGGATAAACGTTTGAAAAAGAGTGAAATTATGAAACCAGTTGTACCTATTGTTAGTATAGAAATGCCAGATTGATGTAGAATTATATCATTTTTACTTTTCTTGACAAAATAAGATACAATGCTGATCTTCATAGGATGTTTTTGTTTCTTTAGGAAAATATTTTAATTCCGGCTAAATGAAGAAGCATTATTTTTTGTACAAAAGCATTGTTATATTTTTTATTTCCTGAGTAGGACGTTTATGATGATTACTATTATGTATTTAATGATATAAACATATGTTATCAACTGTAAGTTTGATATTGTAAATAATTGTGTATAAATCTTTAGGAAATAATGTTAAATAGTAATAAGAAACAAATACTAGGGCTGAGAATTTTTTCAATATATTTTATTTATTTTTGCTATGAATTATTAATGTTGTCAAAGACTGGTCATCTAGCTTGAACCAGAAACTAATTTTTCAACCTAAAGTGTTATTTTGAAAAAAATATACTCGAATGAATCTGATTTTCAAGTTATGAAAGGCTTTCTTAAGACTGAAAAATTCAATCAGTAGCCTAATGTTAACTAATTTGTTACATTTTAAGTATTCTAAATTATGTTAATTGCACAATACAAAACATTGTACATATCGAAATGAAAAAAAGAGGTGCTAAAATAAAATTACATAGTATTGAAGTCTATTCATGGATTTTATTTTAAACTCCACATAACATGACAGAAAACAATAGTCAATCATTGCTCAATGATTGTTTAAACATTTATATGTTTAACTATACATATGTTTTTTGTTAGCTGCTCCTTTCACTTATGCACCAAATTTGCATTCAGTTATTTTTATACTAACCCGTTACCAGATAGCCCGTAGTTCATTATTCACGCGATCGATTTTTTGAGGATTTTTGGACCCCCCTCCCTCTTGGTGATTCGTGGTGATATTCAAAATTATCTCCCCCCTCCTCACCAACATTTATAGTTACGAGAAAAATTGTAACTAGTTGGTATTGGTATTTTGCCTTGAGGCAAGTTACATGAGCTTCCCGATATGTATAAATAATAGACTTAACAAATTAATTTATGAGTGATTAAAAGTATTCCGAGTGGATTTATTACACATTATTGAAAACGAACGAATACGTTAACTTGGAGTATTCTCCAAAAGCAAATATTCACAAATCAACAATTTTTATAATTGAACTAGTTTCCGTAGGACTTGATGGTTTAGTATGTTCATTAGGACCAAGTACTCTATCGTTATACCAAGTGACTCGTCTAATTTTAATTTTAACAAACGTCAAAAAAACAACTCATTTTCTCAAA